GGCGCCGAGCCCCGGGATATGCTCAGGCGACCACAGTATGTCAGCCTTCTGTTCTTGACTAGAGTCTCAGAGGGCCTTCTCCTCCGAGGTGGAAGTACCTGTTGTGTGCTTCCCAGTTCTGGACTTTCGGGGGGGTCTCGTTGCAAAGATGTTTCTTTTTGGAACTCTGGCTTGCTCATATGCTTTCAGCACCTATTTGCGTTATGCGCATGTTGAGATATATGTGCCTTCTCTAAGGTTGTTGCTGGCCCAGGAGCAGTACTGGCTTGGATCTCCACTGCACTAAACAGAGCCCAGATAAGAACAGAGATATTAGCCAAGTTTCGTGATTCTAAGTATTATAGTCCTGGGGGCAAGATGCCAAGCCAGAAAGTCTGACCCTCACAGACGGGTCTACCATTGCGATCCTCTGAAAGACGTGTTTCTGACGTATGCCTTTCCCCCTCTTCCCACACACTTTCAGCACCTTGCAGAACAAGAAGCAGCTTGCTGGCTTTGAACGTGTGACAAATATTTCAGAAAGGTAAATTTATCTCACTTGTGGATTTGATAGATACAAAATGCAGTTGTCAAATAACTTGGAGCCCTGTGTTAATAACTGGGTCATTTATACCGTGCTAAAAAGTAAAACGATATTGGAGGGATGCCACGAGTCTATCGGCTGTGCATCCCGTAAAAGTGAAATAAAGCTGTACTGTCACCTTTTTACACCGTCTTGCTGCCCAGGGAAAGTGGTACAAAACGCTGGCACAGTCTGCTGGTAATAAGGACCAGGTTCTAGGCTTTGTCAGCTTCTCTGTGGCAGTGGCATGCTTGAATTCACGGTAGTGACAGGAACACCCGTGTTCATGTACTTCTTTTTGTGTACTTTCAGCTTCAAGATCAAGTTGGAGGAAAGAACAGTTTTTCTTCCAAACTCATCTGCTTCAACTATTAGTCATACTGGGAATGGACAATGGAATGTTCTCTAGATTTATCATGACCAAAACCCTCCTTGTCTTCTGTATTTCCATGACCTTATCCAGTCACTTTGGGTAAGTTCTCCCTTGTGCTTTCATGTTATGGTCTTGGAGGGCCTGTGATCTTGTGAACGTACATAGTATAGGGCAGGACAGTCCTTGCCTGCTGCCTCTGCAATCCCTCACCCTTGAGTTGGTGGTGAATGTGTCCTGAGCCATGCTTTCTTCTTGAACAAAGCTGTTCCTGGTTCAGGGTCTCTGAAATGATTTAGACAGAAGAAAAGAGGTCTTTACAGGTGGAAGCAGAAGATGGCTGGGGGAAAGCTGCTTCCTCCTACTCAGGTTGGAAGAGGTGCAGAAGTTCATGGGCGTTAAGGATGTCTGCTGCTGTTAGACAAGTGTGTAACCCCTATTCCCTCCTTGCGTCCATTATGCAGCTGGTTTTGCTTATCTAGCCAGGCTGGTGCTGTGCATGTGGCATTGAAAGGGATCCAAAATAGTCTTGGCTGAGCCAAGCACAGAGATCAGAAACTACACCTGATTCACCTCCGAGGCTCTAGGCATGTCATTTCCATTGACCTCTTTCATTTGGGCCTTTAATGTCTCTGTAGCAATAACTAGCCTTTCCCCAACACACTTAAGACTTAGTGGTCCAGATGCAAGCTGTTGGGAAACAGTCTGTGTTCCTCTTCTCTCCTATGTCCTTCACTGCCCCAAATTGTCCTGGCTAATCAAAAGGATTTCAAGTTGAAGTACTCCTGTTGGACAGCTCGTGCTGCTTGGTTTCCTGTTTACCAGTGCCCAGTCCCAAGGGAGCACTTGAGATAGTTAGAAAGACTGCAGCATAGTCACCTGTTTCCATTAGTATTGCTAGACTGTAAAGCTGCTTGGTGGGTGTTCGTGGATCCATTCTGCTGGGAAAAAAATCCAATGAGGGCTCAGGCTTGTGACCAGGGGAAGTTAAGATGTATTCACAGCACCTGAGAAAGACTTGTCTGCCTGTACTCCCTCTCCCCTCCCCTTTCCCTTTCTTCTCTCCCCTCCTCTCCTCCCCTCTCCCTGAGAAAGACTTGTCTGTCTGTACTCCCTCTCCCCTCCCTTTTCCCTTTCTTCTCTCCCCTCCTCTCCTCCCCTCTCCCCTGCCCTCTTCTCCTCCCCTCCCTTGCCCTCTCCTCTCTTTCTCTTTTCTACTTTTTCTCCTCTCTCTTTCATTTTGCTCTCTCTCATCTCCACCTCTGTCACCTCTATCTGTCTAATTTTGTCTCTGTCTCTTTTCTCTCACCATCTCTTCTTGTTCTCCCCCTCTCTTCTTCTGCTCAAACTGGAAGGGTCAGGAGAGCAGAGAATGTCCAGAACACGGGCAGGAAATGTTATTCCCCAGCAAGAACATCCTTATTTGCCTGGAAAAGGGTGTCTTTGCAGGTTGTTGCCCGGTCCTGTGCATTCTCTGTTTATGATTTACACACATGCAGAGTACACTCTGGGGTCCATTTTCACAGGTCAGATGCTGAGTGACTTTGGTTCTTAAACCGAGTAGCACACACTCAGTCTAGCAGGTTGTGCCTTTCATAGGTTACAAGACATACCATAAAAAATGTGGTAGTACCTATTTATTGGATGCTGTGCCTTGCTTATTCTGAGGCGAAATGCTCCCCTTCCCAGAACCTTTGATTCTTCATCTACTACATGAGAGTTTTTCCTTTGCAAGTTCTTTCTTAAATGCTATCAACTGTAGTGTCTCTGTTGCTTTTCTGAATGGAAGGTGTGTGAAGGAAATCCCATGAACATTTACCATTGCAAATCAAGATGTTGAAATAGTTTGCTTGTTTTCTGATATTCCATGTATAGTGAGTGATATTTTGGAAGTTATGCCCATGCTGTGCTGTGCTATCTTGGGAACATACAGCTTATAGGATTTGGCACAATAATTATGATTGTGAATCAAATAAGGCAGGAAGCTCTCATTCTCTCTGGTAGATGCAAGTCAGAAGTAGGAAGGTATGTGTATGAGTTTAGCTAGTTTCTTATTTAATCCTGGGGTTTTCTAAGGTCTTCTATGAATTAGAGATGGGCTTGTCAATTCCCAGAAGGAAATGCTGATTAAGTCTGAGGCTACTTCCCAATCATTCAAAAACACTAACTGTGGGAGAAGATATTAATTTTTAGATATGAAGATTTTAATTGTCTTAGAGTCCATCATAGAGTAATACCTACCAACTGCAGGAAATACGTGAGATGCAGCCAAGTTTGGTTTTAAAATGGTGTCCTAAATACCCAGGTAACCATCCTTCCGATTCTGGTTTCTTCTACTGCTTGCTTGCTTGCTTCTGTGCATATTCAGCCTTTTGTTGGTTTCTGGTGCCAACCTTCCACTGTTACAAACTCTTTAGGCTGTGTGGTTTTAAGATGGACAGATGTGGCAGCAGTGCATGAGTGGGCCAACATTAGCTGCTTCCCAATGAGGTACATTTACATTATTTCTGATTCTCCACTTATCAATTTCTTAAGTATTTGAACTTGTTTCTATGTTAGTGGACTTACACAGCAGGCACTGTGAGTGCACTCTAAGCTTCTTTAGATAAGGGGGGAGCCAAGCAGCATGTGGTGTACACGGAACACATCAGAAGACACATCAAGTCCCCACTTACTCCTCAGAAGTGGATCTGCTTACTTACAGATTAATTATATGTAGGAATAATTGTGTTGAAACCCAGCCAGTTCTATAACATTTCCTTGACTTTGAATCTTGACAGAATAATAACTACTACAAGGCAAAGCACCCATTTTCCCAATGTTTTAAGACAATCCTAGGAGCTGCCTGATGAGCTCAGTGTCATTAGCCCCATCCTGCAGCTGGCAAGGTGGGATGGCTGAGTATCTCACTGGGACCTCTACATAGCTAACACCTGCTGGGGTCCTCACAGTGCACACCTGCTAGTGTCCTCAGACTGCACACCTGCTGGGGTCCTCAGCCACACACTTCAGAACTACTGGGTTCCACACACTGCACAGTCCTGTGCCATTCTGCTCATTTCTCCCCTGTGTTTTTTCTCTGACTTTGGTTTTGCAATATGTCAAGCCAATGTAGATGCTGGGGGTATGAACCTGGACAATATCCTCCGCTTTGGGCTTTGGAAAGAGTTTCCTATACTCTGAGAATGGGGAAGGGAACAGTTTGAAGAAATTCTCTTTCCCTCCTCCCTCCACCAAAGAAGGGATTTCTGTGATTAAGGTTCAAAGGAAGTTGAAAGGGGGAAGTTACAAGGGTCCTAGTTTGATTGTGACTGGGATCAGAGAATTAATTACTGATGCCCCTAAGTTTGCCCAGAAGATGAGACCTGGCAGGGGTGAGGAGATCTATGCAGACTCAGGCAGAAGAGAATGGAGAAAGAGGAAACATAAATGGTTCTGGTCAGGTACAGTTTGTCACACTGCATTTGTAAGAATCTGTGTATTCAGCAACAGAAGATACATTTGTAAGAAGGAACATGTATTTGTTGATTACATAAGATAGTGTGGACCTGCTTTGAAAATATCATGAGAATCATTTGTCTTTTTGCACATCCTTTGCTACATTTAGTCATCAGCAGCTCATTTTCAGTAGTTTTGTGATTTTACTATCAGTTGTGAATTATAGAACAGTACATGAGTCAAGCATACAACTCAACCAAGGCCTTATAGTCAGCCATACCATGGCCCATTCAGATACATGGGGTTATTTAAGCCATTAGAGTTATTTTAATGAAATCAGTAATCTAAATTTCATGATGTAGAAAAATTAGCACTGAAACAGTGTGGGAATCAAAATGCTGCCAAATATATAATGTTAAGTCTACACTGGAATTAATTTATCACCATTTAAAAACCATAATCTGTCAGACTTGAGAGGCCAGTGACAATTGCAAGGCACATTTGAGGATTACCAGTTCAATAAGGAAATGTCAGATTCCATTCATTTACTGGTATCAACATAGGAGATTTGTTTATAGAAATAGGAAATGCATTTTAATTCTTTTACATGGGAGCTGCAATTCAAATAGATGCTGGAAAACAATGTTTTGAATTGACAATGAAAACTGGGCCCTTATAAACCTGAAGAAAGGTCTTTCTTTCTCTGTGTACATGTGAGGCAGCCTGGCCTTTGGTCCCATAAAGAGAGACCTTTTCATCCTCCTTCCTATACGCAAGGATAGCTGCCTCTCCTCACTGCAACCATAAGCATGTCTGAATCCTGCCTGCACTCGCTGTGTCTTGTATACCTTCCAATAACAATTCATCCTTCTCCAGAGAGGCAGGTTCCTGAGGCTCAGGACACACAGTGAGTATAATGGTTGGAAAAGCACTGCAGCAGTGCAGCCAAAGCAGTGAGCAGGGGCAGGACTGAACTGATGGCTCTGTGTGGAGGCTGCATAGAGGGACAGGCAGAGGTGAGGAAGGTGCTCTTGCACAGAGCACAGTGTTCCACACCTCAGTGGTGATGGGGTGATGGTGCTATCTCTAACCTTGTTTTAAAAGACAGAAAGAGAACACGTTTCCAGACTTTCTACTTTATAAATCTGACTTTAAGCAGGTTTGACACCAGTGCCCAGTGAGCAGGGATCAGGCAGCTGGCATGAAGCACAGCTCTGCTAGGTAGGCTGTCCCTAATCTCCAGGATGAGTCCCTACCTGGGTTCAAGGAAGGGGGACACTGGGAGTATTTGGATTTTTTAGAGTCAGTGATACAAAATACTTGGTATGGAATTCAGAGGGAAGTCTTAGAATTAAAAGCAAAAAGAAATCTTAGCTCACTCTCATAGCAGCAAGGTTTACCAATAGGCATATGGGTGGGCTGCACAAATTTTCAGAATGCTGCTGTTGAAACATGCAGTTTAATTTTCACCAAGCCCTCCATTGGTGCAGAAGAAGAGCTCCGGCTTTAGAACTTGAATTGTGCCCAGTGTTTTGCTGCTGACGTGGTAGAATCACCTATTGTCTCCTGGATGGCTAGCATCCCCATTACAAGGGTCCCTCTACCATGTCCTAATGTTTATGGCACCACAGAAAAGAAGACAGCCGGAGAGGGAATCTATGGGT